AAACCAAAAACCAGTCAAACCGACCCGGAACTGAACTGGCCCGAACCAAACCAACCCGAACCGATTATAATATATATCCGAAAGAGACCCAAACACAAAAGACCCGAACCAGAACCGAACTGATTGACCCGATTGCCAGGTCTAGGAATTCTAAATTAAGACTTTTGTAGGTTTAAATATAATGAAATTTACTTTTAGATTTAGCCTAATATGGAAGGCTTCATGCCAAATTTACTTCCTGTTACTTTTTATGTGAAACCTTCAGAGGCTTCATGCCAAATATTACACTGAGTAAACAATATTGTACATAACTCATTTGAGTCTGTATGTGAAGCGCTGAGATTATTAATCGATGATAAAGAATTCATCAAAGGTATAAAGAGGCCGCTATCTTGGGTTCAAGAATTCAATTAAGAAAGTTGTTTGTCACGTTGTTAGTGACAAATGCCATGAGTCGTCCGTGTGTTGTTTGGCAAAAAATGTGGGAATTATTGGCTTTTGGGATTTTTTTTGATCGAAGGAAATTTTTACCCAATCCAGGTAATGTAGTCTTTTTCTTATTTAACTTATGGTAGTTTTTTCTATTTTTTGTTTTTGTCTATAAAAAAATTACGGAGTATTTTATTTTTATTTTGATTTTTGGGTTTTTCATTAATTCCAACATAATTATTTGTGTACGATTCAAACTTATAAAATTACTATGTTAGTCTTTATAATTAGTAATGGAGCATTAAAATATTTTACTAAAGAAAACTAAATGAATAGAAAGTATTTATTAAAGAAGTATATTCTTGTGATTTTTTTTGGGTTAAAATATCAATTTTTAGTTAATATGTATTCATCTAAGAAAATAATTAGTCATAAGTGAACTTGCCATTTGTTTTGCAGAACTTGGTATCTTGCCTAATGATCTACAAAATTTGTGCTTGATTGAAATTGAAAAGTTGCTAAATTCAAATGGAAGCTCTTTAAAAGAGTTTGGTGACATGCCATTTCCAGTTGAAGACCCGATGAATATGTTTCAAAATAATTTCTTGGTTGAAGAGCTGAACTATGGCAAAGAAAAGTTGTCCACAGATCTCAAAGAATATTCATCAACGTTGAATGACGATCAGAAAAAAATATACGATGAGATAATAGAAGTTGTGGCAGCTGGGAGAGGAGGTTTTTATATTGTATATGGTTATGGCAGAACTGGAAAATTATTCCTTTGGAAATCACCATCGGCTGCGCTTAGATCGAATGGTAAGATTGTTTTAAGTGTTGCATCCAGTGGAATTACAACTTTGCTATTACCGGGTGGGAGGACTATACATTCAAGATTCCCGATCTCTTTAGCACTAACTGAATGTTCAACTTGTGCGATCAAACAAGGAAGTCCAAAAAATGAATTAATTCAACAAGCAAGTCTAATAATATGGGATGAAGTGTGTATGATGAATAAACTTGCTTTTGAGGCGTTATATTGCACCTTGAGAGATATTATGCGGTTCTCTGATAAAAATACTGGAAATAAACCTCTCAGTGGAAAAACAGTTGTGCTCGGTGGTGACTTTTGTCAAATACTTCCAGTTATACCAAGAGCTTTAAGAGAGGACATTGTGGAAGCTACCGTGAATTCATCGACTTTTGTGGTCATATTGTAAAGCATTTACATTGACTAAAAATATGAGATTGCATTTATCTTCATCCATCCACGCTAAAAGTGACACACAACTTTTTTGAGTGGATAATCAAGATTGGAGATGGATAGCTTGGCATGGTTAATGAAGGAATTGGTGAAATTGAAATTATTGGAAAATATGAAAGATTATACTTTTTTTATGAATAAAGCTTTATTAGCACCCACGCTTGAAGTTGTTGAAATGATCAATGATTTTGTTTTGTCTCTTATTACTGGAAATGAAAAGGAGTACTTGAGCTCTCATTCTTCATGTCAAGAAGATACAGATGTATGCATAGATGGTGATTGGATAACGACTAAGTTTTTGAACAATATCAAGTGTTCAGGGATTCCAAACCACAAAATTGTTTTGAAAAAGGAGTACCAATTAGGTTATTGAAAAACATTTATCAAACATCTGGGTTGTGTAATGGAACAAGGTTAATAGTTGAAGAGTTGCGAAGAAATGTTATCGGTGCAATAGTTGTATCAGAAAATAATGCCGGCGAGAAAGTTTACATACCACGAATGAATTTGGTACTGTCAGATCCTGGATTACCGTTTAAGTTTCAAAGGAGACAATTTCCAATATCTTTATGTTTTGGCATGACGATCAATAAGAGTCAAGACCAAACATTATCATTTGTTGGATTATTTTAGACCAAATCGTATTCACTCACGGTCAACTTTATTTTGTCGTTTTACGAGTGAAAACTAAGAAAGAATTGAAAGTCTTAGTTTTAGATGACAATGGTAACCCTTGAAATTGCACAAAAAATGTGGTTTATCCTTAAGTTTTCCAAAAATTTTGGATGTAATTAATACATTTATATGTTCTTTTAAATTTTTAAATACATGAATTTTAGTTAGCATACTCTGTTTATGTCATAACATTTATTAAACTTCTAACATTGTATATTAAAATTAGCTATATTTTTTAATCATTTACTAAAACCAAAAAACTTAATAGAGTTAAAAACAACATGCATTCGACCCCGTGCATTACACGCGTTAAATATTAGTTCTAATAAAAAGGAATAGAATCATAGACTCATAGTATGGGGTCTATACTGGAAGAAAATTTTCGAGCTATCTCCAAAGATTTTTTAACGAAAGAAAACACCTTTACAAATAGTCCCATCATACTCACCAAAAAAAAGTTACATGGGACTTTCTCATAAAATTTTTAGAGTAAACTTTATAATTAGTTTTCTAAAACTGAAAAATTTCCATATTGAATTCTCGATCTATTGTCAAACATTAAGTTTATGGTTTTTCATAGCGGTAAGCAAGGACCGAACCGATCCCGATATTTCCTGAAAAAACTGAGAATACCGAACCGATAAAGTACCGAAAAGAAACCGAACCGTACCGAACCGAATCGAACGGTCGGTCTAGTATTTGGAAACGGCACGAGGTTACTTCTCATACCGAAATTCCCGAACCAAACATATATACTACTCCCTCCGTCCCACAAAAAAGTTCCCATTTTGACCATAAATTGGTCAAACTGTTGCACACTTTGACCTTAAATTAAATATAATCTAAATAAAGAAATGCTAAAAAATTGAGATATCAAAACTAGATCCTAAGATGAATCCAATTATATAAAATTCATTTCATAATTCAATATACTTTTCTCACAATTCGTAGTCAAAGCGTGCAAATATTTGACTAAATACTACTCCGTATTCAAAAGGGAACTTTTTTATGGGACGGAGGGAGTAATATATTATAAAAATAATAATCTTTTTATATTTCTTCATTAAATAAGAAATTTATATAGACAATTTAGTTTAATTTCATTATGTTTAAGTTGCACTTTAATATGAGTTTTTTATTTTTTGTAAATGAGTATAAGAATATTAACAAATATTTGAAATAGTATTTTGTTATCACTCGTTCTCTTTAGTTTGTGAAATATAAACCAACTTTCATAAGCATTTCTTGTATTTTATTTTTTCATTTTTAAGTTTTTTTTTATCTTTCTTTGGTTAAATGTACTTTCAATTTTTCAAAAATAAAAGGTTTGGTTACAACATAAAATCCTATATTGAACCGAAATATTTGGTACGGTATCGGTACGAGCTAAATACCGTACCACGCTCACCCCTAGTTTTTCATTTATAAGTAACTTTCCATAAATAGTTTTTTATTTGGCCTTCTGATAAATTAGTAATTGAAAGCTAAAAGTGTGATGTCACACTGTTTCTATGATTGACTATGTATTGTGATGTCAATTTGACTAACAACACAATATCAATAACCATGACTATAAACTTAGATTCCGACTAGCTACAACAAGTGTAGACTACGGTGGGTGACGACTCTTGTGAAAAACAACACTTCAATAGCGACCACTAAGAATGAATATCGCAAGAAGAATGTAGGGCTCATGCGAAATCACACTTTCATCACTCAATTTAGCACCAACATGATAAAAAGTAAAAAAAACTACCCGTGGAAGGTCATATCAATAAACAAAAGACCATGAAAGACCACAAACACGTATTCAATAGTATAAGACTAAATTTAAGAAACCCCCTATTAATTATACCATTCTCTTTTCTTTATTATAAAAAAGGTGCATCTCAATAGTAAACAAACACTTATTCAATTCATCTCAAAGTCCATCACGATCATAGTTTCATGCAAGAATTCGTCAATCTCCAAGTCACGCTTTCATATGACTCGCCCATATACCATTTCTACCACCTTTCTCTCAACCACAAAATCCCCTTTGAGACACGGGCCCAAAATGGATTCTCTCACAAGACGAACCGCCCTAAAAAGGACTCGTCCTCCATCCCTCTATCAAAAGCCTCACATGTGACCACATTCATTTTACACAAATATGCCATCTTCTTGACGGAAAAAAAAAAAAAAACTGGAGTATTTCTAAAGATAAAATGAAGTTATTTTGTTTAATTACAAAGATACTCTGCATTACTTACTGCATTATTTACTGAGTAATAAAAAATTAGGCCCCGTTTGGTACATGGAATTCAAACGATGGAATTGGAATTGAGGACTTCAATTCTAATTCTGGTATTTGGTAGCACAAAAATTATGTGGATTGGAATTGATAGTACAAAAAATGGATTGGAATTGGTAAATTCAATTCTATAGAATTGGATCCCATAGAAATTCAATTTCAATTCAATTCCAATTCCATCAATTCCATCTACCAAACGGACCCTTAATGTTTTGTTTCAATATCCTGACGAACAAATGGAGTGGGCGAAGTGAAACATATACACCCAACAGTTTGTTGCATGTAACGAATGTGAATGAGGTCGAAGGCAAACACATGTATGTACAATTATTCATTCATAAGTCACGCGACATTCCTGTCGATTAAGGAGCATATCAATGGATTCAAAATGATTACAATACCAGATAGTATCACTACCATTTTTTTTGATTTCCTATGTCTACAAGTCATATTTGACAAGTAATCTAAGGTAAAACAAATATACACAATGCCAAAAAGGGGTCTGAAGCTCAACTAGTTACAATGCAACTACTTATAGTATCGATACCCCCCTCCCTCCCTCCCACTCACCCACCCACCCCCAACACGCATACACAGGCAAAATTTGGATTATAGACATTTCAAGTTTAAACCTGTTCATTCCCCTTGAGGATGTTGAACTTGCATAGAGGACACGTGGCATTCATCTTAAGCCATTTCACAATACAGACTGTGTGAAAATGATGGCTACAAGGGAGAGTATGAAGCTCTGTTCCATCCTCATACGAGCTGAGACATATGCAGCACTCCTACAAAAAGAAGAGAGACATTCTCAAGTGTATACAGTTGGACACGGTAAAACTACCAAAATTCAAGACCTTTGAAGATCTCTTTTAAACAGCGCTAGTGTTTTGATGGAAAAATCTGAGAAGGGCATATATTCAAAACTTGTGCACCATTGTTTCAGATATTAAACTTGCAATCAGTGTTAAATTTATAAATCAAATTTTCTTTTTAGGGTCGATCTTTCGACTCCCATTGGACTCCTCGACCGTTTGGAGTCGGAGGTAGGCCAATAATTTCTAGGAAGGACACAGTTCAACTCATCTCAATCTCTTCTACAACATTTATGTTTTTACCTTAGTCCAAACTCTGTAGTTTAGATATTGGAAAAAGTAGACCAATGTTCATAGAAAAATGTGTGTGTGTGTGTGTCTATGTGTATACACAACTACATGAATACATTTTCTATACAAACAATGAACTACATTTTCAATATCTGAAATACGAAATGCGGACTAGGTACAAACATGAAAGTTGTCGAGGAGAATGAGATGAGTCAAATTATGTCCTCCCCGGAAGTCATTGTCAAATCTCCACTGCTGAACGGGGAGTCAAAGTCGAGGAGTCCTAAGGACCCCCTTGCTTTCACAATATGTTGAGCGGTGGAAAAGAGAACCACCATAAATTCAGGCATACGAGTATTTTTAATGAATGCTTTCCAACCCCTCCAGGAAAATCAGGTAAGGAATTGCTGATAAATGTATATACACTTACTGCATCTTCGGGTAAAAGAAACCGTTCGGTAGCCAAGTAACCACTTCCTGGATCAATGGGTACCATCTTACCACCACCAACAAAGGGGTTTTCATTATCCTGACGTATTAGAAATCTGTACTTGGAAAGGGCATTAAGATCTGCCTCTGATGCACCTTCCTGCAAATGTTTAATTAAAATAGTTAATAAATATACAAAATGCTCTATTGCATAAGCTACATACCCAGTCAAGCCCTCATACCTGACCAGCAACAGCATAAAGAATTGCAATTATACAAGGTAAGCAACAGCAGAGAGCAATCCCTATCAGACATGCTAAAACAACACAAAATATGGCAAAGAAGACATCAAAGGCCAGAAATACCACCGCTAACCTGAGAAAAAAATTGATCAAAGATTAATAGGGGTCTGAATTTAGAGCTAATAAGTAACCACAAACTAAACGAGACAAATACAACTGTAAAACCCAAAGAAAGAAACAGCTTTAAAGAAATTATTCGGAGTGGTTTTTATAGACCTGTTTATCTTTACCACATATATTTCCCTGCTTGTATGGCATTTAGCTTTAAATTTTTTATGTCCTTTTATGAAAAAATACAAGCTTTGTTCAGGAACAAAGCCACTTTTTCCCCAAATTACTTGCAATACACAGCTACCTACTGCTACCAATCATTAATGGGGTTCATAAATTGACCGTCGTAGCTCAAAGCCACTCAAGCCTAACAGCTTTTTTTCCTTTTCACAATTCCCATTGACATTATATCCCTTCCTACACCACTCTGTCCCAAACATCGGTTCTTGATGGATCGAGAATCAGTCAGTTTTTCATCTAGCACAATCATATGTACAACTCATCAAGTAATGTAATAAGTGATGTGTAGTAATTAGATGGAGCAGTATTAGCTAGTTCTGAAAATCATGATAATGGCACTGAGCATAACTGGGGCTTGGAACATTTTGAAATCACTGTGCCAGATTGAATTCTAGCTGGCAGTATATTTATTTCTGAGAACCGCAAATACAATAATTTTGTTCTCCATATTACTCTGGCTAGGCATACTAACTATTGCTGAGATTTGATTGTTGCAACCAGCTAACAAATTTTACAACCCCCAATGTAATAATAGAAGTAACTAATGATAATCTCTCATGCAATGAAGAAAAAAATGGCAAAAGAAGCGTATCGCTTCTCTGAATTCCGTGAATTTTGATCAATACACTATATTCGCACTAAAAATCAATATCAACACATTAATAATATCGTGACGGCATGAAAAAAATATCAAGGGGTGGTTTTTAGACCTTGTGCTACAGTTAGATTTTTGAACATTTGTGGAGAATTAGTTAATCACTTAATCCAAGTAAAAAAAGAAAAGATGGCAACTGGAATTGGAATTTCAGAGTTGATCACTTAATCCACAATAAAAACATAAGACTATTTAGGCCTAGTTCTTTTGGGTTGGAATTTTAGAGTTGGATGTTCGAAGAAACTAGAAGCTGGAAAAAACGGGAAGGAGTTGAAAAATGTTGGAAGAATTTAAGTGTTAAAAAGTTACTCAATTAAATGGTCATCCAAATAAATATGTAATAAAACTCTAATTTTGGATAAAAAAAATTCATCATTGTCCGTGTTTGATGTGATATGTTATAAATTTGGATATATAATGTTATTTTGTATTAATCATATATAAATACCTTTGTATTAGTCATATATAAATACTTTTTTAAGTCGTTGGAAGAAACTAGGAGTTGGAAGGAACTGGAGAGAGTTGGTAGAAGTTGGAAGTTAATTTTTCCAATCCAAAAGAACGGGCCTTAGAAGAAAAGATAGGAGAACCGAGAGAAACTGGGAGGGGGGGAGGGATTTTTTGGGGGAAGAAACATGTGTGAGGTGGGTTCATAAATCACATTATTCATATCGCAGCAATGAGCAGTCAAGGAAACTATAAAAATCCAAAAGCACTGAGTTTTCTCATAATTAGTAAATAAATAAAAAGAGTGAATTCCCAAAATGGTGCTCTCTAATAAGGCGTATTCCAACTCAGCCTTCAATAAGCAATACTTATATGGTACTTCATAATTGAGATATTTTCCCTCAATAGAAAATAAATACCTACATAGTACTTTATTTTATTATTGAGATTTGTTTTCCATGATAGCCCTCCGACAATGAGGTGAATTTGTAATTATAACCTCAAATGGGTGATTTGGGAAAACATTTAATTAGAAAAGAGTATTTTGAGATCTTCCTCGTAGTTTAGATGATGAAAAATTACCAAAATATTTTTTACGGGGGACTACCAACGGAATAAATCCCAACTATAAAGTACCACGTAGGTAATTATTACTTATAGAGGACTAATTTGGGAAAACACATTATTATAAAGGACCATTTTGGAAATTCACTCTAAGTAAAATAAAGAGATGCTCTATTTCAAGAACATCAAAGATTAAAACAATAGGCGAAAACTTTGCAACTCGCATTCCACCCAAATGCAATTTAGTGTTCTCATGATCGTGAAGGCTGTGTGACAAACTATTAGAACATGCTTCCTCAAAGAATCAAGTTTTAATATGTGATCAAAAAGAAAAAAATACAACAAAGCTACATTATGTGCACATGGAACAAGAGTCATTTTTACATACAAACAAGTCATATTAACCTAGCACAACTATTACACTTCAACTCAAGACATTCAGACAAACAACTCTTATTATACATTTTTATTTCAGAATGTTTTTCTTGGAATAACAGAAATAAGTCTTCTTTTTATTTTTACATCTTTCTTTTCCAAAATGGATCACTTTCAAGGATATGGTATAAAACAACCTAACAACCTCGTATTCCAACCCTTAGAACTCTTCGTTAGTGTGTACTGGGGAAGTCTCTAATAAATTTATGGCATTATGCATACCTGATACCTTGGCTGATGTCCTTTAAGAGATAAATTTTAATGTGAATATAGACCTGATTGATAGGTAATACCCTTTGTTCAACAAAATACCACCTCCGTCTAAGAGTATTTGTCCAGCTTAACTTTTTGTGGTCAAATGGACAAACTTTGATCATCAACTAAAATAAAAATTAAAATGCAGAATGATACAAATGAAATAATAATCCAAAATCTCTTTGTAAGACAAATCTAATGAAATTACTCTTGTATTAATATAATGTAATGCTAGCTACGTCCCTAAATAGATTGCACTCAGGAGTACGTGCTAAACCCATGTCTTTTAAATTTATTTTTATTCACAAATTGGTATATAAATAAAAAATAAAACTTACATATTTAAACACTACATCAAAGCTCTACAAAGTAAGAGGTAACAAGAATATTTTACTTTATCTAATGATAAATGAAAACACGTAAATAAACAAAAGTTAACGGAGGCCAGAATAACGACAGTGCATTCCATTTCCATTTAGGAACAAAGGGAGTATTTACTTAATTGATGATTAAAATTTATCTAGTTTGACCATAAAAAGTCAAACAAGATTAGTACTACGGGAAGGAGGGAATAAAGATTACCACATGTTACCACAACCCTAGTAGTGCCAAAGTAGCAATCTCAGCATACAAACATCAGACATAAGACAACATTTCCTTACATTGGCTGATAGGCATAAACTTCTCATTTAAGATTACACGCACTACTCAACAATTGTATGTAGGATACGGGTCCTAGAACTGCGGGTCGGAACCAAACAGCACGGGCAAGCTAGGGGTGGGTCCAAAATTTCAATTTTAAAAACGGGACGGTCTGGGTCGGTTCCTTTGTTTAAATGGGGAGGGCCAGTTCTTCAGTTTTATATTTCAAAGGAGCCGGACCGGCTTGTTATTATGTATAATAATAAATATTACATTTTCATATTTAATTATTTTTTAGAAGATAAACCATACTTTTAAAAGGCAAAAGGCGAGAGGTCCTTTTGTAAGGCGAAAGGCGACGCGAGAGGTGGGCAACCAAAAGGCGGACTTGGGGCATACACACAAGTACAAAAAATATATAGTGCAGTGCAATTAATAATGTCAATCCCAAGCAAATCATACATGTTAAACAAAACAATAAGAGAAGTTACTACATATGTTTCTCAAAGCCTAATCGTAATCATCATCGCTCAAAGAGAAATCCATATTTTCCAACATAATTGATGGAATAAGTGCTTCGAAATCATATATAAAGTTTACTTTACATTTTACAATTAACATATTAATTAGTTACTTTACATTCAAACAAACCGAGTTGGGGTCGATTCTAATTATAAAGTTTTTTCGACCCGTCCCGTGTCTATATAAACAAGCCAGGGTCGGTTTTGATGAAAATTGGCCTGGACCGGCTTGTGCGCACCCCTAACTCAATGTGTGTAGGGCAAGGACTAGGTTAAGACTGTCACTGGGGTCTACTCTTAGCCTTTTTCTTCCTTGCCTTGGTGATAGATCTTCAATCGCATGATATCCAAGGGGAGGTTCCTTGGTGCTTGCTTTTTGCGGATGATAATGCGACATCATTTTCCCTTTTAACTTTCCTCACATCACTTTAATAGTTCCTCACATTTTTGCTTCTCTTTTATGATGGTGGCCTTCGCATGTCATAAATTTATTTTATCTACATAATTTTTATTATAATAAATCAAGATAATTTATTTTTTAAATAACTTAAATGAAAACTAAATTTGTTTACTTTTAATAAAAATATATATTCCATATACCAAAAACTTTACTTTACATTTTACAAGTAACATATAAATTATAATAAGAAAAATATACTAAACCACACAACACTTCCTCTAAATATTTTCCAATTTATAATTTGCATAAAAATCTATTATAATAAATATACTAATACACATGTCATATTTATTACTTCTTTTGGTCCTAAAATCTCTTCTTAGTTTGACTTTTTTAGTCAAACAGTAACACTCACAGGCCATAAATTAATCATAATCAAAATAAATAAATGTTATAAAAATTTGATATATCAAAACTATATCCTAAGATGAACCCAATTGAATTGAATTTATATTGTAATTCAATATACTTTTCTCACAATTTGTGGTCAAAGAGTGTCACTGTTTGACAAAAAAGTCAAACCAAGAAGAGTTTTTAGGACCGGAGGGAGTACTAAAAATATGAAAACAGACACAATACTAACTTTAAACATTTTTTTAAAACTTGAATAATAAAAAATTCTTAATAACAATTTACAATTTAAATGGTAAAAAATTCTCAAATAAACAGTAAAAACATAAATAAAAACTAGAGTAAATTCCATCAATAATTCTTCATAATAAGGAGTTCCCATATATAGGTTTGACCAAATCATCTTGAAGTGTCTGTTTTTAAAAAAGTGGGGAAGCCAAAAAGTAGAAGTAAATCATTTTAAAAAATGAAATGATTCATTTAAAAAAATATAGAGATTCAAAAAAAAGGGTAAATCACTTCAACTCCCCCGATAGAATTCAACAACAAAAACAAAATAGATGAATAAATTCTTATTTTTCTCTCTCATGATTTCCCTGATGCAAATGATTTCCTCACTTCTTCTCTTTCACTTCTTTTTCTCTCCTTCCTCTAAGCATTTTACCTACTTTCTCCTTTGCCACATCAACTTTTCTCGAACATTCCCTCCCCACTAAAGGTGTTGTAAGAGATAAGTTTTAGTACTTTGGCTTGATCATTCAAACACATGGGGAGATGGATGGGGATGTTCATTGAATTGGAGCTACTTGGGCTAAGTGGAAGCTGGCTTCTGTGGTCTTGTGCAATAAGAAGATTTCAACAAGCATGAAAGGAAAGTTCTACCGGTCAGTGGTCAAACCGGCTATGCGTTATGGAGCAAAATGTTGGGCCATTGGCTGGATAGGATTCAGAATGACGGTATCCGAGGAAGGGAGGGAGTGGCACCTATGGAGGATGGAGGATAAACAGCGAGAAGATGGTTTGGTCATATGAGGAAGCGTAGTGTTGGGGCTCTGATGCGAGAGGCTAACGATAATGGGTGGAGATAAGGGAAGGAGTAGACTTAGATAGAATTAGGAGGTAATTAGACAAGACTTAGAACTTCAAGCCCTTACCGAGGATATGACCTTAGATAGGAGCATCTAGATATTCAGGACTAGGACACTTGGGCAGTGAGGTAGTGGTTTGGAGTTTGGACATGGGTGGTAGTTTTTGCTCGACGTTGTGTGTTTTCTAGGCTTGGTGTCTTTTTGTTTGCATTTGGTTGTGTGCTTGTCTTCTTGAACTCTTCTTGCCCTTAGTTTGCTCTTTGATCTTTTTTGTTATGTTATGTGCTCTCTGTGTTGCTCGAGTTGGAGATCTCTTGAAAACAACCTCTCTACTTTGAATTACGGGTAAGGTCTATGTGCACACATCCTCCCAAGACACTACTTTTGTGAGATTCTTCAGGGATATATCTATACACACACACACACACACACACACACACACACACACATATAATCAAGATTTTAAAAAATGAAAAAAAATTAGTGATCTTTCATATGAATATATATTTTGTCAAATAAGATTACGCAAAACTCAAAAGGCAAATGTTATTTTGCTGGAATAAAAAATTAACTCGTTAAATACCAGTACAGTCGTGGAGCATTGCGCAAAAGCATTTCACCACCTGAGATTACCCAATAAAAGCCAATCATCCACCACCCAAATGAAGCCATGGTATTCACAGACTCCCAACGCTTAGCAACACTGAAATGTCAATGACATAATGCAAATTATGAAGCTTATGAAAAGAAAAGAAGTCAAAAATTTATAAAACAGGATAGAGAATAGCAATGGTTTCCAAGTTTACATCATAATTCAAATAAGGAATGAGAAACACATCTATTCATCTTCATTAACAAACTGACTCATGAAACATACAATGCATTTCTATATTAGCTGATAGCTAGATGGAATTTATAATGCAGAATGTATATTTATCATCTCAACTTTAGTTCAGGATTTCCAACTCATACCTATAAATAGAAAATCCTTGTTTTGTTGATATTGCAACAGAACAAGAACTCAATTTACCACATTAGACAAGAAATAGATCATCAAATTTCAGACAGGTGCAAAAATAGCATTTCAAACAATGATTCGACCCATATGGCCTCAATAGTTCACTGGTCTACTGAGTAGCATGTAATTAGGTGACGAGGAGCATGTGTGTAGATGCTCTTCAGTTTGAAAACGATCGAGAAGAAAGAGCTTAACGAACTTGGTCAGGAGGAAGTAAATGACTGAAGGCATTATAATGATAAATTACCTAATATGTACTTAAATATTTTTAAAGGGAATATGTTTTCGAAAAACACAAAAAAAAATTAAATGTGCAATGATAATAAAAAACAACTCAATTGAATCCCACAAAAGTAGAGTTTGGGGAGGGTAGGTGTCTGCACACTTTACCCCTACTCGAAAATAGAGAGGTTGTTTCTAAAAAGACCCCAGAAGCACCACAGGTTGCAGCCTGACCCCTAAATTTAAAACACAGAGCAGCTGTTGGCTAGATAACCCATGATGAGCATCAAAAATTACAATTACTAAATGCTACTTGCCTATTAAAAGAAGCTCAGACACCTTAAAGAGCCATTTAGTTTTATTCCATCAAACCCCAAAGCCAAAAAATAGTGAACCTTTGGCTCAATCGACGATGATGGAAATATTTAGAGCCACACCACTACGCCTTGTAAATAAGAGCGAAGGGAGTACATATGGACTACTAGATTTTTTATTACCAAAAAATTACTATATCAAAAAAACATTTTTTCAGAAACAATAACTCATCTGCACTCAATTGAACCAAGCGTAGCATCTCTTTACGCTCTTCTATTTTCTTCTCTCTAATCGTCCTCTAATCACTTTTTGTCTAGTCCAGCTCAAAACCTTAAATAATGTATAGGTCAATTGGATAGGGAAGGAGGTACCCGATGCACATACAACACATGCATTAAAATGCAGCTCAACCAGAATGAAGTTAAATTTTATTCCCTTTGTCCCGAAATGAAGTTGACTCACATTTTATGATGCTTGAGTTAAGTTTTCTACAATTCATTTTATTTAAATATTGGAGTACAATTTAAAAAACTTATATATGTAGTATCTAAAACTATAAGAAATTCTACGAAACTAGAGGTGGTTTGACTACAACAATAACAATAACAGCCCAATTGGTCCCACAAGAGTAAGGTCTTGGGAGAGTGCGTATAAGCATACCTTTTACCCCTACTTGAAAGTAGAGAGGCTGTAGAGGTGCTTAACTATGTTATTTTAACAAATGGTAGATAAAAATAAGTTTAAAAAAATACAGTTTGACTTGTGAATAGTAACTCTAACCTTTTGGGACAAAGGGAGTAGTTTACTTAACTCGTCAATATTCAAGCAAGACTCAACTACAACTTGCAAATACCCAACATGCAGTAAATTATAGAACTTTCCAAGCTTGGTAAATTTCAGAACACAATTTCATCAACTCAATGCCCTATATCAACTTTGGGATAAATTTCCAAGCATGTAACCAGCGACAAAAGTACAGAAAATGAAGCTACTAAATGAACGAAAAGAATCGATGAATCAATTAAATCAACAAGTTGAAACTCACCTGGACCTGCTGCTAATAGCCAAACCAGCAATCATTTCTTCCTCATCATCTTCCTCACTTCCGTCTGCCATTGAAGCTCCATCTTCTCCGCTACGGTCAATAGGTGAGTTCCTCCGGCTGTACTCGAACCAAACCAGCACCACATGAACCAGACACTGCAACTCATAACCGCAAACCCAAACCCTGATAGGCACGTTAGGGCTCTCATCCAGCGTACAACCCAGCATAACAGCCGAGACGAACACGAAAGCAAGATTCCACATCATGTCCAGAGCCACCACTGGCTTGGAGTACCCCCAATCGGCCCGGCGCTCCTCCAGCTCCCGCGCGGCCGTCTGGCGCACCAGCATCGAAGCACCGCGCCGTCCAGTTACCCGGCCCATCAGAGCAGCCAGTGACTGCGAGCGGCTCCTGCGGTTATTCTCCCGGAGTGGCCGCAATAGCGGCGGCGATGCGCTGTCCAGGGAGGTGGAATTGAAAGGAATTGAAGCCATATCTGATCCTCTCCCTCAAGGGCTGGCTAAATGCTCAGTATATTTTGAATATCTACTGTATGAAAAGCGATCAAACCTCGAACTCGAATGGAAATGGGAATCTCGGTCTCGAGTGATCTTGAAACTTATTCATCCATCACCACCATTACTAATGGTTCACAAATACAACACCTTCACAAACTTATTATTTTAAATTTAAATTTTTATTTTAAAATTATTTTAGCCTACTTCATTTTTTTAATGAAATTCACATATAGTAATTTGTGAAATTTGTGACGGATTTGTTTGTGAACCAGTAGATTTAATATTCTACTGGTTCAAAAATTGAGATATGTCAAAAGAGGTAGGGGGAGATAGAGAGAGGTAGGGTTACCTCTCAACCGTAGATTTTAGATGACCACCAAGTTGGCGAAAATCAAGGTAATAAACTCTATTTTCCGTTGATATCCTTCACTCGTCGTACCCGATCGCAAATCAATCACCATCTTCACATCGCCATCATCGTCTTCTGATCGCCATCTCCAACAAGACAGGTACTCCGATTTTTTCACTTCAATTTTCAATTTTTTTTTCGTTCTGCTTTGCGTTGCCCAGATTTCCTTCTGCATAATAACATGCTTCCTTCAATTTTGCTTACTTCACTTTTTCAATTTTACTTCACTTCTTTTGCTTCCTTCAATTTTGCTTTCAATTTTCAGTTTATGCTCAATTTCTAGTTCAAGCTTTCGTTCATTTTTTTCAATTTTCATTTTTTTTTGTGTCCCTTTTTTCAATTTTCATTTCACTCTTTTTTTTCTATTCTTTTGTGGTTTTTTTCTATTTTTGTGCTTTTCTCTGGTAATTTTTTCTGTTCTTTTCTACAATTGTGTATTTTTGAGTACTCTGTTTTTGTAGTTTTGTTATTGTACTTCGTTTTCTGCAATTTTGTAATTGTACTCTGTTTTTTTTCAATTATCTGGACTTGTAGGTGCTAGTGATTTGAGTTCTTACAGATTAACATGAATTATGTTAAATTTTTAGGTCCTAGTTTATGGCATCAATGGATGATGATATGCTTGATTATCTCTACTTAAATGACATGACAACTTTGTTTTCGGTATCCATATTACTACAAGTATGGTATTTACACACTAGAAGAGATCGAGCGAGAATTGTGGATGAATCAATTTCCTTAGAATCAAAGGATTTAAAAAATGTTGTGCGAGAGGTGTTGACGAATAGACTTGTATGTCGAGAAATGATACGAATGGGGCCGAATACGTTTTTGAACTTATGTGGTCTATTAGTGCGTCATGGCGGATTAAAAGCAACGAAGTGGATAAGTATTGAAGAACAAGTTGCTCTTTTCTTGTACAAAATTGGCCACCGTGTCACTAATAGGCAAGTGCGGTGATTATTTGTTTGTTCAAGAGAGGTTATATGGAGACATTTTCACAATGTTCTAAATAATGTTGTAATTAAGTTAGAAGCATTGTTTCTAACACAACCAGATGGCACACGGATATATACCTTCTGAGATATTTAACAATCCCAAGTTTTTCCCTTATTTCAAGGTGACATTAGATAAACACAAGTTCACACACTCTTTTAAAATTTGCAAGCTACATCTAAAATTATTATGTCCATAGGATTGTGTGGGAGCAATTGATGGAACTCATGTGCGGCTAAAAGTGCCAGTGGCCGATGCACTTAGATTTCGTGGTAGAAAAGACTTTCCAACTCAAAATGTTCTAGGTGCTTGCACATTTGATCTAAGCTTTGCGTACATACTACCGGGTTGGGAGCGGACGTTATCTGATGCAAGAATAAAGTATTTTAAGATAACATATTTTTTTTCTTTTTGTATAGGTAAGTTTTATTTAGATGATGTCTGATTCCCTTTATCTCAAGGTGTTATCACACCTTTTAGAGGGGTAAGGTATCACTTAAGAGAATACGATGTTAACCCACCAACAAATAAGAGAGAACTATTTAACTTGTGTCATGCGTCACTACGAAATGTGGTGGAGAGGGCATTTGGTGTGATCAAGAAATGTTTCCCAATTATGAAAAGTGCTGATAAGCCGAATTTTTAAATAAAGACGCAAAAGAAAATAATTGTGGCTTGCTCAATTTTACACAACTATTTGTTATGTGGGGATCCCGACGAGGCTTAGAACGAAGTCATAGCTTTTGTAAAACTTTTTTATGTTATGATTGACTTATAATGGTGTGTGTATTTAAACTTACTATGTGTAACATTCTTCTTTTGATTTTGAATTTTATATAACTGTTGTGTATGTACTTCTTTCTTGTGCAACATACGAATGCATAATGGCTATTATCTTATGTTAAATATATATGTGCTATTCTTGTAGTACCCAGTGGTATGTGAAAGGTAACCACGGTTAGAAGGGTAGCGAAAATACAAAAATTTAAGCTCCCAATAGTGATTACTAGTCCAAAACAGTTACTAAAACAATAGCTAGAGATAGAAACTTATACGTTCTCCGGTAAAGCGGTATGAACGTGAAGTCGAGCAACACCTAAGTCCTCTCCCATACCTCATACCAAACATTGGTCCTTGGATGAGCTCCACCTGCAAGCAAAAACCCCCAGCTAAAACCCAACCTACCTATCTGATTCTGAAATACCACAGAAACCCCAGACATAATCCCTTTTCCCACAGCTAAATCACCTTGCATTTACCTGGTAATAAGACAACAATTAAATACAAGTCAAGAACAGAAAAATGAGAAGAAGGTGGATGCTTCATTCACCACTGTTCAAAAAAAATAAAAAAGAATTTAGGAAAAGAAATCTCAAACAGTCAAACCATGCATGTTACCTAATGAATCTTCTCTACTAGAACGTGTGTGGGCTGCCCTCCAAACTCCAGAGGGTAGCTATTCTCACTTCCACCCACAAGATTTCGCTTATTGCTATTTTAGAACCTAAATCCCATCAGAAGAAAATCACACACTACCAGCTTACACTTGGTTTCATTCATTCCCTTGCCATGGCAGACAACAGAGCCTAGATTATGTGGAAAGATGAAACCCTACATTATACCTCTCACCAAGAAGTGGACCAAGTCATTAACATTCAATTCTTGCATAATAATAACCTCATAACCATCTCCATTGGAAGCCCTTTCACTTAGACTGGGGTCAGATCCAAGGGTAGAGTTTGGAGAATATTGGATAGAGTCTTTCACAATTTTCATTTCCTAAACTCTTTTCAAGACATCTACTGCAGACACCTGTCTAGAGGAGACTCAGACCTTTCTCCAATCCTAGTGCAAATCAATAGCTCAATCTACAATGGTCCTAGGCCGTTCAGATTCATCAACTGCTGGAATACTCACAATACATTCAAAAATCTTATTGTTTCTAGCTGGGGCAGATACACAGGAGGTGGTATGAGAGGTCTAGGAAGCAAATTAGCTCTTTTGGCCCCTATTCTTCAAGACTGGAACAGAAATACTTTTGGGAACATTTTCACTAGAGTGAAGCAACTAGAAGGAGAATTACAAGAAAAGGAAGGCCTTTTTGGTAACCAACTCACCCAATAGAACAGAATGAACATGCATGAAATCAAGGCCAAATTGATTCAAGCTACACAACAGGAGTTCTCATAGTGGAAGCAGAAAGCAAATATTAAATGAACAAAAGAAGGTGACTCTAATACAGCCTCCTTTCATGTAGTTACCAAGGAAAGGAGAAGACATCAGAAGATTTCCAGGATTAAGAACACTCAAGGAACCTGGTTACATCAACAAGGGGATATCCAGGAAGAGTTCCTTCAATATTTCCAAAATCTCTTCCAGGAGAGGGAATTAAAGGATGGAAACATATTCCTTAACAATATCCCTAACTTACTGCAGTGTGAGGATAATGATAAGCTGACCACACTACCACGGTAACAAGAGGTTAAAGATGTAATCTAGTCTCTTTCAGCAGACATCTCAGCAGGCCCAGATGGATTCAATGGGGAATTCTACAAGCATAATTGGGAGGAGATAAAGGAGGGCTGCACAAAAACAGTTCAAGAATTCTTCTTAGGAATCCCAATTCCTAAATGCATTTCCCACTCTAATATTATCCTCATTCCCAAAAAAGAAAACCCCATCACTTGGGAGGACTATAGGCCTACTTACGTATCTAATTTCAATTTCAAGTTCCTCTCCAAAATTCTTGCCCAAAGGCTGAGCTCCTTACTACCACACATAATCACCCGAGAACAAGGAGGGTTTGTAAAGGAAAGGGTAATTCATGATCAGATCCTCATTACCGAGGAACTTATCCATGGGTTAGAGTACCCTACCAGAGGAGGCAACCTAGCTATCAAAATTTATTTGTCTAAAGCTTTTGACAGGATCTTCTGGAATTTTTTTATGACTATCCTAACTGAATTTAGATTCAGCCATAAATTCCAAAAGCTTATTCTTAATCTCCTACAGAGCTCAGAGTTCTCCCTATTGGTCAATGACCATCAGATCAAGAGTTTCAAGCCTAATAGGGGACTCAGGCAAGGTGACCCTATCTCCCCTCTATTACCTGGACACACCAATAAATCTCTACAGTGACTCCAGCAATTGTGTTAAAAGAATTAAGGATCAGACAAATAATGACTTTCATAGAAGGCTGAGCAGAGAACACATCAATAGATCCAAAGGGAGAATTAATCACATCTTCAGAGAGGCAAACACAGCACCCCATCACTTGGCCCAACATGCAATTCAAAACAATGTCTTTTCGCTTTATATTTCTTTTGATAATCTTTCGACTAAAGTTAGGTGAGCTATCAAATGTGATGTATCAACTTCTTTTATTCGAATTAAATAAAATTTTCTTTTTTCAATATATATATGTGTGTGTGTGTGTGTGTGTGTGTGTGTGTGTGCACGCACGCGCGTGTGTGTAAAGGTCAAGTATTCTCTTGTTGAAATATATAATTATACAACACTTTATATGTGAAATTGCGTGAATGATTATGTGAATGCCAAATATATTAAAATTAATGACATTAAAAATATTTTTATAAAATAATAATTAAATAAGTGTAATAAATTTGAGAGTGTAGATTATTAAGATTAAGATCTCAATGTATAAATTGTCTAAAATTTCTAT